GCTGACGAAAGCCGAAAGAAATTACAGTCAGATCGAGGAGACATTGGCCAGTGTTTGCTGTGAAGAAATTTCACGAGATGCTGTATGGTCGCCACCTCAAGCTCTTGACGGATCACAAGCCGCTGCCGGCCATTTTCGGCTCGAAGAAAGGAATTCCTGCCTATACAGCCAGTCGACTCCAATAATGGGTACTCACCTTGCTGGGCTATGGTATTGAAATCTGTTATCAGTCAACGGTTTCGATGGACCAGGCAGATGCGTTGTCATGCCTAATTGATTCCCAGCAGCAAGAAAACAAGGACACTGTCATAGCCACAGTTGAGATCGAACATGATGTCAAATTCCTGGTGAGCGAAGCATGGTCTGCCAAATACGGCCGAAGCTGTGCGGATCGTAACGCTTCAAGATCCAATCCAGAAGTAGATTATTCAATTCCACAGAACCAGCTAGCCACGTTCGTGTTCATCTGTCGAAATGCAGCAATTCTATCAGCGAAAACATCCGCTCTCCACTGTGAACGATTGTGTCATGTTCTCAGCCAGAGTAGTCATCTCGCAGGTGTTGCTGCGGCAGTTCCATCCAGAACTTCCAGAGCTCATCCGAATGAAAGCGCTTGCCCGAAGTTATGTATATTGGCCGTTTATGGATAGACAGCTGGAGCAGCTAGCTAGAAGTTGTAGCAGCTGCGCCACCGTTTCAAGGGCACCGCGGGAGACTGAACTCCACTCGTGGCCTAAACGAACTAAACCTTGCATTTGTGTTCAGGTCGACTTTGCAAACCGTCAACTACCAGAACTTTCTCACAGTGATCGACGCCTACAGCAAGTGGTTCGAAGTGTTCCTCATGAGCATCACGAAATTCAGCGCGACGGTCTCGAGGTTGCGAGAAACTCTCAGCAAGTTTGGCTGCCCTGAAACATTGGTGACGGACAATGGAGCACAGTTTACTTCGTCCACATTCACGGTTCCGCAAACGCTGCGCCATCAAACACGTGCAGTCTCCACCATTCCACCCGCAATCGAACGGCCAAGAGGAGAGGTTTGTGGATACATTCAAACGCGCTCTCCTCAAAACAAAGAGGGAAGGGGACATAGAGGTAGTCGACCGCTTCTTTCCGCACCGATTTACACAAAATTCACACCAGCAGAGGCAGTGGTGAATAGAAAGTTTCACATGCCATTTGTGCAGTTCGGCTGTCCTCGGAGCCCACAGTTAGTGGACGGAACCTTAAGATGGAACAGAACTTCAATCGGCGGTGTGGTGTCAAGCGACGTCCGTTTGAACCGGGTCAGCCAGTACTTGCACGTGATTACCGGGAAGGACACGCGGCCACAAGGACCGTGCACCTGGTCCCCTCCAACAGCGACCAACTATCTCCTGGAGCCAGTATGTACATAAAGCGCAGCCACACCGGTGATGTCAGGCAGCAGTCAATCACATGAAATGAAATAACCTATAAAATAGGTTGAAAACACCATACGGATATCTTGCTAACTTGGCACATGATATAAATGGATTACCAACAAATTTAAAAACGGCAGGTAAGCATATCAAGAAACATAAGAAAAACGAAGTTTAGCACCATTCAAATCAGCGACAATTACAAGTTATTAGTTTATTCAGGCAGGCATTAAAATGAGATAAGAAAATAAGTATTAAGACAAGAAAGCAAATCCACCGCCTGGAACAAAGAGATTCAGCACGCAATTACACCGTTAGTAAATCGTATGCAACGTACCTACAAACGCTGCGCCGGTTCTGCCTACGTTCTCAACAGCACTCGTCGTCATTGCTGTGGTGGCCCCGGGTGACCTCGCTAATTGCTCAATAGGCCTGTCTGCCTAACTCCAGTACTCGCGACCACAAGTGCGCTCGACATCGATGGAATACAATCCATCGCTTCCGTAACTCCCGCTTCTTTTCCGCATGCACGATGAGTTTCTCTTGCACCTCGGCAACTGCCTTCCGTGATCCCGCCACGCACACCGATCAACCGCCTTTGGTTCCAAAGACCTTCAATCAAGATTAGAACGTAATAGGATCATTTTCATCATGCCCTGGTAATGTAACCTCAGTTTTCCCACGTAACGCTTCCCTGCACTCAGCAGACTAAATAATAGCTACTTCGGTATTGTCGTCCGATCCATACACCACACATGACCGAGCCAACTCAAGTGACTCAGCAATAGTATGCAATCCACTGCCTACATTCTGTCGTGTTGCCCTCCGGGAAACAAAAAGACTGGGCCGAGATCACGAAGCGGTTTATTAAGATTACGCTCGAATATTTATGGAGTATATATACTGTTTACAACACTCAGTTTCAATGGCTCATCCCTGTTATTTGCATTTTGTCGTTGGTTCCTTTTCCATTGGTTTATGCTTGCTCGCCACGTTCACTATGTCTAAAATCACCTTGACTTTCTTAGTGGATGTACGATTGGCGGGATTTGGCCCGCCCGCTTCTTTCCTCGGTCCAGCGCCACAAGCCTTGCTCAAGGGTGCACGAGTGCGCGAGCCTTCGCGTGCCGGCGCCTGATTGGTCACCTGCACGTTCAGTGGATGGTTGTAGGCTGGACGCGATCACGGGCCAACTATTTCCTGATTGGCTGACCAATCTGCTTCCGGCAACTTGCTCACTCCCTATCGGTCTGACCTGTGATGTTCGATCTGCATTACAGCACTTCTAGCCCCCATCACCCATTCCACTTCGACGCACCAACCGATGCGCAGAATCCGTCGCAGACACTTGATGAAACCGCTCCAGATATCTCACATCTCGCCAGTACACCGTCCACGTTCCTCTGCCGTATAGAAGAACGGACAGCACCATAAATTTGTACACCATCAGCTTCGTGCCAACCTGACTGACGAGGCGGTTGAGCAGGATTCGGGCAATCACCTTGCTCACACAACTCAGCAAGTTGATACCACGATAATTCGTGGCACGTTCCTTGCTTCCTTTGTTCTTGTACAGTGGTAATCATCATTATACACGTTAGCTAGAGGTTTAAAACACCTCAGCTATTGTGCCGCAATACATAAAAGAATAGAAATACAGCAGTTGCATGCCATCTGAGCTACCAGCAACAGATGGGCATCGTTCCGGAAAGCTAACAGCCGGCTACTAGGCAATAAGAAAAATTGTTCTGTAAAATGATACTGCGCTACGAAATGAGATCTTGGTTGCAGGGGAGACTAAGAGGGGTGCGGTGGGACAAAGAAACTCACAGCACGAACGCCACTGAGGTCGGCTCCTAGCTATGTCAACAAGTGTATCTAGGCCCAACCAGGAAGCCGTGAAGCTCCAACCGAGGCCAACCATAAAGTGAGGGCTTCATTCCTCTCGACCAAGTCATCGCTTGGCCACCCCTCTTCTTCTTCTATCCACATCCCCGGTTAGCAAACAACACACGTCGCGGGAGTCGGTAGGCAGGCACGCGCAACAGGTGGCCGAGCCATCGAAGTCTGGTGCGTGAAATGACGGTGCTGAGCGGTTCAGTTCCTTTTCCTGTACCGTAAACAAAGCGTCGAACACGCTTGTTCCTCACGCGCTGTTCCCACAAGATGTGAGCCAAACGGCCAAGGCACTGATGGTCGAACGTAATTAGCCTCTTTATGTCCGCTGATCTAATGGGCCAGGTTCCGCAACCGTAAAGTAACGTCGAGCGCACCGCTACATTGTGCACTACCATTCAGGGCGAGAGTGATGTCGCACCGCCGCCACAGGTGGCGAAGGTTAGCAAAAGCACTTCGAGCTCGTGATATTCGATTCGTGACCTCATCTTCAATCCCACGGATGCTGATACAACTTCCCAGCTAGTTGAATTTCTGAACGACTTCTAGCTGATCCTCACCAAGGGTTAGCGCAGAAGGCGATCCCTGCCGATATTGGAGGAACGCTTTGCACTTCGATGGTGCAAAGCAAAGTCCGAAGTGCCTGACAGCCAGTGCTGATCTGTCCAGTGCAGCTTCGCACGTCTGGAAGCTGTCACAGATGAAGGCAATGTCGTCTGCATACTCCAAGTCAAGAAGTCGTTCTCCTGGGAGTAGCTTCAGACCTTCCAAGTCGTATCTTGTAAATGCTATCTCTATGACTTCGTCAATACCGAAATTGAAAAGGAAAGGTGACAGCGGGCATCCTTGTCTCACACCGCTGGAGATATTGAAGGGCGGCGACACGTTGCCGTAAGCCCTCACTCTGCCCGTGCTACGCGCGTATAATGCTCGGATAATATTTCTCGGGCACACCTTTCCTGAGTAGATAGTTCCAAAGGGCACATCGATCAACCAAATCGAAGGCACCTTTGGTGTCGAGGAACACGACTACGGTGGGTCGCCAATATGTGTGACGATGCTGCAACAACTGACGCAAGGTGAAGGTGTACAGTGGTAGTACAAGGGCATCATTCAGCTCGGAAGGCATCTCCTCAATTTACATGCGTTGCACTAAGTCATGCAGTGCAGTCATCAACGCGGGTCCGCTGTGTTTCAATACTTCTGGCAGGATCCCGTCGGCACTGTCACACTTGCCGTTTCGCAGCTAAGCAAGTGCTCTACGCGTCTCATCCACTGTCGGGAGGATCACATCGCCTTATCCTTCTGCACCACCAAAAACAAGTTTGCTCACTCGCTCATCACTCTAGGATCTCCGGCAATATTTTTCAAACTGCTACATAATCTAGTTGAGGGAACAGTGACTTTGCATATAGGGATTATTTTTCGTCTTACTAACCAGTTTTTTACGTTCTGGAAGTTAGCTTAGGCGCTGGTTAGAAGTGCAACGAAATTCCCATTCCTATTTTCTGTTGATTATTTTCGTCTCATTATCTTTTAGTTCCTACAACTGCTTATCCAGTCAGTGTTACTCTACTCTCCTGCACAAATAACTTTATTGCAGTTAAACAGTGGCTTGTAGGTGCAATTCGCCGTATGCCCATAACGTCTAAGTTAAAATCCGGAAACTACGAAATTTTCACTCTCATGTGTTCTGCAGGCTATGGTCGTTGTACATAGCGGCAAGAAGAAAAGGGCTACTCTCCGTGGTGCTTTCAGTCACGAAGGAATTCATGAGTTTTTGTGGTCCATATTGGTAGGGGACACAAAAGTACCCCTATTCCCAGTTCAAACGATGCCTACCATTGAAAAAGTGGATGGGTGGGATGGTCAAGATGCTCCGGTGAGTCGTTTCCGCTTATCACCACGTCGATAATGTAACTTTCTCCTCTGTCAGAATCTCGCTCGTGTTTTCCTTGCTTAGTTTTTCTTACTTCAGTCATCCCTTACTGACGCTTATGTATATTACACAGAGGGAGTTTGTTTTCCTTGGTCTCGTGTGTGCAGTATTTTACGCGTCAGTGTTTATTTTATTAACGCACCGATCATCCTAAGACCGTTTACAAGTGGTTTGAATACTTTTCTGAACCAACACGTCCCTCCGCACCAAAGCCACCTTCCTTACTTGACCCTCGAATTTATGTTCTCCACTATTTCAGCCTATCGAGGAGGAAGAGGTCGACTTGGCTGACTTGGGCATCAAGGTCGATCTGTAGGTCTTTACTGACTCAAATGCTCATTCCTTCGCTTGTTTTGTTCCACCGCAATCCGGAACTCTATATTTTTACCCAGTTTGTAAAAGTGCAGTCTTGTTTGCCTGTACATCGGAATAAAACTCAGCTCTCCATTCTTCTTACCGATCGTCACTTTAGTCTATGCTACCATGGTTTGTGAAATCCGCATAAAGCTACATCGGGGATTCTGATTTAATTAAGTTCACCTTAGGTGGCCCTATATTTTTGATATTCTAAAGGACGAATGAAATTTTCGTCGCACAGTTGCTGTGCGATACTTATCGTTGGTAGTAATATCGCACTTTTGCGCTCGCCTCAGATCCCCTGCTATACACCCCACTGCCTCGAACTTTTGTTACTTATCAAGTTACCGGCCTTCGGGGTCATATGCCTGCCTCATAATCCGAGGGCGCGTTTTAGAGCCTGCGCATGTACTGGGCGACTCTCGCAGTATCATTGGCCCAGGTGTACTGGTGACGGTTGCGCGGCAGCGAAGCGTCGGTACTGCATACCGGCATATTCTATTCTGTTAGTCAGAAAGAGCAGTGTAGACCAGCCTCAAATTCCAGTTATTCCCGTTCAATGACGGTACGTTGTGTTGAAAATGCACTGCTTTGGGCACATAAATCATATTCGGCCTAGTTGGTTTGATCCAAAACTTTTATGAGTGAAATGGGATGCTCAGCTAAGGAAATTTCTACGTACATCCGCATTAGCATCCATGTCTTAACTGATGACGCTCATTGTAGGCGAACAAGTTGAAAGAAACAACCGACAAGCATTCGAAAAGCCGGACTTGCGAACGGGCAGCGTATCAAACGATTACCTGGGAAATTGGGTTGTCACTTGCTTACCTTGGTTTTTCGTCTCTATTGGCATTGGGATTCCATTCTGCAATTTGAAGGCGCCATCTCTACACTGCCCATTTGTTCGTTGGCACTTGTTTTGTGCGTCCGCACAACTTTGATCAAAATATCTTAATCGCAATGTTGAAGATAAGTGAGGTGGGGGCTGCACAGAAGCAGTCTGTGCAACACCAATGAGAACCTGATGGCCCCTTGCTTGGAGTGGGATAATACAATACAGGGTTTATTGGGTCACAGTTCTGCTATCTTGCTCCCCAGCAATGCTCGCCATGAGCGGATTCATCGACTTTACCCATAAAATACCGTCATTGGATCAAATCGCCTTTATTCTTTCTGCTATCGGTGTTTACTTCCGCGATCGACTCGATCAAACTCGCTGTTGTGGAGAGGATATCTAAACACACCATTTTCAGAGCGACTCAAATTGGAGCAGATAACGACCAAACGATTATGTAATTACAGAAGAGTAGTAGGGAGAGTTGAATGTTATAGGAAGAAGTTCATCACATCTAGGCTCACTCAGACAGTCGCCACACGCCCGGAAAAGCACTGTACGCACGTTTCATCCAGCTGTTGGACGCACCAGAATTAGTGATGCACAATTCCCTTTATTCCACACAGCTCTGTTCGCGGTGGTGGATGTAGATAGTAGTAGGTAGATGTTTTTGGAATCCGCGTGACAAGCTTTCAGATGTATTAGATCACTCTGAAATCGTTTTCAGAGTCTGCGTAACCGTACTCGAGGAGGTGCGACAAGATGGAGCCAACAAAAGACACCGCTTCGCCTCTTTCTATCCCAGCGAGAGTAGACGTGTTGTAGTGGCTTGCCCACCTCTGCTACTCATTCAGCTTTTCTTTGTAGTGCTTTTCAAGCGCCTTTAGGGCTACGCATACCAGAAATGCCAATGGTTACTTGTCGGGTCAACTCAACCCCAACATCCTCTTCGTTGGTTGGGAAGTGGTCGGTGTCCATCTTTCGACAACAGATCACTGGCTAAGCTCAGCTCGATTAGCTTAGAGCACGAGTACCACAATCACTACGATGGGACGACATCGTAAGTTGTTCAATGGTCCACTATCACTCACCACAAGCTAGGCAACACATGATCAAATTGATACAAACCCGCCAACGGTCAAGATGAATGGGGTTCTCCCTTTGAACTTGGTCACGGTTAGTATCTCCAGGGTTGGGGTCAACACATTTATTTGGAGACACTTATTCAAACAGAAAGAAGCCTATCTAAGTGGTGCGCTTTTTGAGTTTCTTTACCAGTGCTCTCCAACCAGGACCTCAATCTCGATGCCTGAATAAAATATATTAAATTTTTCGTTTCCTTACTCTTACTCCATGATTGGGTACTATTGCGTCGCAACTGCTGAGGTGTTTCTCATGTCTAACATGTATAATAACAGTAATGAATAGACCAGCCATATCCATTAACGGACCAGCGCATTGTTGGAGTAGCCCCACGATGACCAACAAATGATATTACAGAGAGCCAGGAACAGAGTTGAAGTGTGAGTCAGACGGATGCTTTTCCTCCTTATTTATGGGAAACAGCAAGATCGAACATTTTACCGCCTGAGTACCCCTGTCATATGTCACGGTTTAGAATCTAGTGGCATTCGGCCAACACGCATGAGTTGACCTTAATCTACCGCTCATCAATCAGCCAGATTCGTACGCCAAATTGCTAAAGCAATTTGGAGTAGCTGGCGCGGGTATATTGTTGGAACTGTGAAGCGTTTATATGTAAATCGTTGGTCCAAATACGTGACAGCAAGACAGAAAGGGAGGCTAGTAAATGTAAGCAACCCCCATGCTGTCATAATCATAACCTACGACGAAGCAAGCGATTCGAAAAGACTGCCCGTTTAATCAGAACCAGAACGATGGGAAACAAAACATGTAGTAACAAGACTTCATGGAAAGCGTATCATTATTGCGCAGATTATGATAGGATATTAACTGCGGGTGGCATCAACAAATACGACAGTTTCTTTTCCGTGGACGCGGGCACTATGAGGTGTATTTTTTGGGACTTCTAAGCAGTCACCGGGACCCAAGATAACTTCTTCACCGAACATCTTAAACCAAAGTTGGCCATTCACGATGCAATCCATTTTATTTTCGGCGTGTGTGTGTTCCGGGAAGCTACATCCTGGCTGGAAGGTGTAATCCACGCAACTGAAGCCCTGAATGGGGTAAAAACATAATTACAACTGCAGACGATGTAATTCGATTGGTGTGCGTGGCCAAAAATAGACTTGGCTCGTAAAGAAAGGCGAGTCCCAACACAAAACTGAACGGTGTGTATGGGATTTAAAATGAATATCAAACACATCCCTGTGGCTAAAAACCTGAACCACTGGTCCTCATCATTCATCGGACAAGCTGGATAAATTCAAGAATTCTGTAGTTTCATAACGACTGAAAATGGAAAAAATTCATAAACAAGCAGCACGACGGGATAGATTACATACCGATAATGATCATGAATTGAGAAGTAAAATGGGAACAGACGCAAATACCACAGGTCACAAGATAATCATTAGCCGAACAATATCACTGGTTTGCTAAGTTATTACCCAGCCTACAGTGATCCGCTCTACTAGCACAAACGTGGGTGAGTTTGAGAAAATAGGAGTAAAATGTTAAGTTCAAGAATGAAAAGCGAAAAGGTTCGTGCTCCGCGTTAACAAGCAAGAAGAATGTAGAAGCACTACCGACTTCGTGACTGCGCTGAAGTCGAACTATTGACAAGCTATTCATAAGCCTCACTCAGGGAAACGAATTATACAGGCAACCTAGACTTCCGGTAGGTTTCTTCGTGTGCCTGCCATATCACCCTGAAGTTTCATTCAATCGAATGCCGACGAAAGCGGTCACCGAGTATGTGAACTGCAAGACACAGCTGCAAAAGGTGGTTGGTCGCCGAATTCCAACAAACAGAGTGCATCAGTGCTGATTTTGTGATCAAGGGGGGGCAGGGCACAATGTGGAGTGGTAAAGTGATCGCAATGCAAACGTGTACATCTGATACTCTACTAATAGATTGTTTTTCACGGTCTTCATAATCGACGCATGCAGTAGTTTTTGGAGGATTTAGTTGGCATATGTGATACAGCAATCCAAATAAGCGAACTAATTGACCTCTCGGGTGATATGGAAAAATAAATAGCCGATGCAGTCCTGTAACAGTAGGTTACATTCGGAATACGGTAGATGCATGCATGAGTATGCACATAATTCAGCAACGCTTGCACGGTAGCAGAAACCTCTGCAAAAAGACATGTATCATCCGTGACCAGACAGTTTGTCACATAGCAAAAGCAACACACAATCTTAAACTGCGCTAACTATCGCGTGAACCAATGTTCCCGAATGCGTGTCAAATAAAACAAAGAGCAAGCCGGTGGAAAATGGCAGCCAGTGTAATACTAATTGCGATGGGATCGGAATTCGGGTTTCGTCCACCAAGCTCCTTCGATTAGTAACTTTCCCCTGATGTGACCGCGGCCAGCTTACTGTCGGCGCTTTAGTTCCGAACTCATTACGTGAGGTTCTAATACTCCCGGGAATTTAATCATTATCACCAACAGAAGTATATCAGCCATGTGAACTGTTACTTCGTTGTTATGTAACGACAATGACCTAATAAATGAAGCATAAGATCAACAGAAAAAGCGGTCCATCCGGAGAAATCTGAATGTCCTTTGTTGGCACGCAGTGCTGAGCCCTACACTTAAAGTGGTCAATGCAGCTGCAGAATAAACTCGTTCTTAGCCAAAAAAGCACAATGGTTCGAACCCAAGCCAATACGAGATTCATGGAAGCACCGGTTACAGATATCGTATTGCGGCTAATATATGGTAAGCTGAGCTTGGAGAAGCGGCATGTGGGCAAACCGAAGCTTCGTTACCGAGACATGATAAAAGTGAGCCTCCCACGTTCTAATCATGTTTGTACGTCATGGGAACCCAACCAAAACAGTTGACCGCGTGAATAGCGCGATCTGATAAAGAACGCAGTTGCCGAGGTGCAGCAGAAAGCACTCATGCACGCGGAGAAGCAGCAAGTGCGGAAGCGACAAGCGCCGATGGGTTGTACTCCATCGATCGCATGGTGCTGTAGCAGTTGCGGTCGCGAGTGCCTGACTCAGGCAGCGCTAGTGAGCCATGAGTGAGGCAAATTGGGGACACATCGGAAAAGACGACGAGCCTGCTGAGAACGTAGGCAGAACCGGCGCAGCGTTGGTAGGTCATCATCATCAACAGCAGTACATCAGCCATTTGAACTGATGCTTCGTTGCCATACAACCATGAGGACCTATGAAATAAAGAATAAGAAGAGGGAGAGAAGGGGGACTTACCTGAAAATCTTAATGCCCTAAGCAAACATTCAGGGTCAAGGCGCCTACACCTTGTGTTAACAACATACCGTCACAAACAGCTGGCTATCGTGCAATGTTAAGGCGGCATCGGCGAGACAGCTTCCCTGCGGCTTTCACTGCCACGCGTCATAATCAGCCATTACCCCGCAGATAACTCAGCACCAAACACACTTTAAACAGGCAATCCAATTAGGAGACGGCAGCAGACGCGCCACTGGTGTCGGTTGCGAGCCATGTCCTGTAAAGTCTCGAGCCAAGCACAAGGCGAGTCACGTGGACTCCAGCCCGGAAGGCGAGACGGACCAACCGCACCCAGTTTGGTCGTCAGTGACTTCATTTCCCGCTGCCAAGTCAACTTCTGTCCACCTCGAGCCTTGCGCCACCCTACACCTGGCAGACTAAACAACGCCCTTCTAGGTAAGCGGTGACCAGGCATACGTAGCACGTGCCCGAGCCAACGCAACTTATTCAGTGCTATCTGTTGTTCTAGGGAGCTAGCATGATTATCACCACCTAGTACTCGCCTACGCACATCATCGTTGCGGACACGCTGGTGCCATCCGACACCAGCAATGCTTCGCAGACAACGATGATCAAAGACTTGAAGGCGCCTCAGATCTTCAGACCGAAGGGGCCAAGTCTCACTGCCATAGAGCAGAACGGCCCTCACTGTGGCCTTGTATACCCGGCCTTTCAGACGGAGGGAAACTCGCTTCTGTCGCCAAAGATGCCGCAGGTTCAAGAAGGTAGCTCTGGCTTTTGCAATGCGTGAGCTGACGTCCGTTTCTATGCGCCCATCATTGCTGATGCAGCTGCCAAGATAAGTGAAATGATCAACCACCTCGAGTTCCTCGTTAGCAAGCGTCAAGGGGTCATCAAGTGGCTGGTGGTCCTGCAGCAACACTTTGAAGGTGCAAAACGCATACCAAATAATGGGACCACTCTGGACAGGCTATTCAGGGTTGATTGTGCCGCTCCAACATCGTCGAAAAGCAAGACGATATCGTCTGCATAATCTAGATCAACTAACATTCACTAGGCAGCACTTCAACGCCTACATCGTGAGATTCCGCGAGGGAACACTCCATGATAGAATCCACGAAGAAATTGAACAAAAATGGGGAAATCGGACAACCCTGACGAACGCCACTTGTGGTCGGAAAGCTATCCGACAGGACACCGTAGACCCTGAGGAAGCCTGTAGTGTTCGACTATAGAGCACGAAGGATGTTCACATATTTCGTGGGAACACCTTTCCGCGCAAGTATTTCGAACAGAATCGATCGATCGACTGAATCGAACGCACTCTTGAAATCGAGGAACACAGCTATTGTCGATCAGCGGTATACGTGGCGCTGCTCTAGCACCTGCCGCAAAGCGAATATATGGTCTATACAGCCACGTCCTGGGCGGAAACCGGCCTGCTCCTCCCAATCCGAGATTCGCATTCCGCAATGAGGCGACGAAATATAATCGAGGCCAATAATTTTGTCACAACTGGCGTTAGGCTAATACCCCTGTGGTTAGAACAGTCTGTGCGACTGCCCTTCTTGTATATTGCCACTATAATCGATTCGCTCCAATTAGCCGGGACACTTCCTTCCAGATACATTCGAATAGGGTGGTCAGTGCTTTGCAGAGGACCTCACCTCCATCCTTAAATAGTGCAGGTGAGAGGGAATCCGGGCCAGCGGCATGAAAACGATTAAGGGCTGTGATCGCGCTTCGGACCTCGGCCTCCGACGGAGGCTCTAAACTAACCGTCCATGACTCGTCCTGCATCATCTGAGTAGGAAGAGGTCCGGGAGCAGGGGGCCAGCTGAACTGATCTTCAAAGTGTTCGGCCCAACGAGCCATACGGCGCTCCTTATTGTGTATCAGCGCACCCGCACTGTCTCTGATTGTCTCACTGACGCCTGGTTTTCTGGGACCAGTGGTGCGGATTATCTGGAAGAGCTTGCGGTAATTGCCTCCATTTCTTGAGCCCTACTGGTCCACCAGGCTTCCTTGTCAGCACGTAGGCTCTCCTTTAGTTCACGCCTAATAGCCCGTCTGGTCACATTGTGTTCAGAGCCAGCCGGGAGGTGTCTTCTAGATTCCAACAGGTTCACCGACCTCTCGGATATCCAGTGACTGGTGCGGTGACGATGAATAGTGCCACAAGCAGATGCTCCTGCGTCGTGCATGGCGGCCGAGATCCTATTCCACTGAAGCTCAGTGTCATTAGGACAAGACTGCGGAAGTTCAGTATGCAGTGCGTCTTGATAGGCTTGCCTGACCGAGGAATGAGACAACTTCTCCGTTGCCAATAGTAGGGGACGCTTGGTGCGCTTCCCGCTAAAGTTCATGGAGAAACGACAGCGTACCAAGCAATGATCAGAATCGACACAGGTACTCCAGTATGAGCGGCAATCCAGGATGGAACCACGCCACCTGTAACTTATGGCTATGTGGTCAATTTGCGTCCATCGCTGGCCAGCTACAGGAGGACGCCAAGTGGCACTTCGGCGCCCACTGTGTCTAAAAGCAGTGCTACTAAGAAACAACTGGTGCTCCGCACACAGTTGCAGCAGACGCTCACCGTTGTCAGTCCGTTCGGAGTTAAGCCCACAATTACCACCCAACTGAGTTTCTGAAGAGCTCAGACGCCCTACTTGTGCGTTCATAGCCCCTGCAAGTACTATAATATCTGAACTAGTAGCACTGCGTAGTAGCGCGTTCAGTTCGTGATAGAATGTGTCCTTGACAGCATTAGAACTGCAGTCGGTGGGAGCATAAACGGAAATCACAAACAAACAGCTT